GCATAAAATTTTATGCCCACATATTAAAACAAAATCTAATATATTTTATATAATCTATATTTTATGAAACACATTTCAACTAAAAACAAAACATAGTAGGCAAAACAGGAAAGATTCTGCAATTCATTTTGTTAACTAGACACATTTCACTTAAAAAAGCTAACAATCTCAACAACAACCTAAACAAAGCTAAAAATTATCCAATTATTTCCCTGGTTAGGTAGCCTCCAATATTTGGTTTTAGTTTTACTATGAACAAACACTTTTGCAACCCTTCAAAGTCATTAGTGGGCTACTTGAATTATTACAGCAGAACAGCAATTTCAGCTATTTCTAAAATTACAGGAAAGCCACTATTTAGAGCAAGTATAGTGACACAAAAAATCAAGTTAGATGGCTTCACAATGACACTAACAAGTTTCAAGTTTACCATCGAAAAAGGTTACACAAGTAAAAAACACTGTCTTCTAAAGAAAGACTCATTCTAGTAAATGAAACCAATGGGGTCTATTCCTTTTATTCAGAAGCACCACACAGCTAAACAACCAGGCAAGTCCTCAGGGAACAAGCATTTCAACAGCTGCAACCCTGTGCCAGACTAGGCTTTGTTGGCTTTCCTTTCCAAGAAACATAGATGTCTCCCTTTACTTAGTCCATCTGCTGTAAGTGATAACCAGATGTCTGTGTCACAATCAAAATTTAAAAATAGGACCCTCCCTTCTCACAACCTAACGACAAAGTCCAATGGTCCATGATAAAAAAAAAGGCTTTAGTGAAAGCCTGTAAACAAAAGAAACACAGCATTCAAGTGATCTAACGGTTCACCTTTAAAGTACCTAGTACCACTAAGAGTATTTGCTATTGTATTTTCAGCTCTTTAACCACAGTTCTAAGTGCTTTACACTTAATTCTCATAGAAGCCTTATGAAGTGGTACTAATGTTAATTCCATAGTGCAAATGAGGAAATTGAAGTTTAGGGCCCTGAGACACATGTGTCCAGGGCTCTATCACTGACAAGCAGAGCTATGATGCTAAACACAGGTAATTTGCACCCACAGCCCATGCTGCTAAATGTCACACCCATGCTAATCCCAGGAAATGTAACTAATTCATATCAAAACTCTGTCTCTGGGACCAGTGAGATGGCTCAGTGGAATAAGTGCTTCCCTGGCAAGCGCAAGGGCCCGAGTTCAATCCCCAGTTCCACAAAAATAAAAAACAAAAAACCTCTGTCTCAAAGAGAAATGGTTGTACTCTTATTGTACAGGTCCTGCTTTACCTTGGTCTTATCCATCCAGTAGAAAAGTATGAAGATGAAATATAGGAAGTAAAGCCATGTTGTTATGTTGAGCTGTGGGGGACTCAGGTCAATAATTTCTGACATTGCCAGTTAAACAGAAGACCCAATACTATTATGGTCTACTGGACTCTTTTAGAATATTTTGCTGAGTTTACACACCTATAATATTCAATAACGGAACTTAGAAAAAATAGGATATACAGATGAATGTCCATTTTGTATCTGTGTATTCAAAGTGGTTAGGATAGATATATAGTTGCATTCTCTTAATGAATAGAATGATTTGTTCTAATGGTGTTTGTAAAAAGGATCTCAAGTCCGCATCTTGTACAGCAGTTAACCACTAAGAAGAATATATGCAGTGTGTTATTTGTTGAAACTGTACTTCCGATTTGATTTGAAACTGTCTCATTGCTATCTGTTTATCAATAAAATTTTGGAAAAAAAAGAAATGGTTGTAGTTTATCAGAAAAAGAAAGGGAAACAACTAATTTTCTGGAAGTAACTAATGGCAAAGATATTTTGATTCACTTCTTTGAAGATGTTAAGTCCTCCTCTACCAAGTTATATCCAAACATATCATGGGCCAAAGTCTATAGCCAGATATCTACCATGCTAGTACAATTCATTAGCTGTGTTACTGGCACATGTCCTGAGAAAACTCACATAATCTGGTCATCAATATTCTTTTTTAATGAATGAATGTTCTACTGCATGATGAAATTAACCAACAGTTAAATTTCTGGTTTACATTTTTTTGGTGCATTGTAAAGTTTTCTTCTTATTGACTTCTCCATGAAGGTTGATCTGAACTGCCTCAGACATCACCTTAGTATGTTTTAAAATGTTCAACAGCACCTCTGGAATATATTTCTTATCATAATTATTAGTATATAATAAAACTAGCCATGTAACATAAATTCTCTTTTACCTGCTAGTCACAAATAAGACCAGATGAGCATAATTTCTGATGTGATGTGATTCCTTTCCACTAATAACATACTACTGGAATCTTACTTTTTAGCAACTATACAAGCACAAACATTTGATTCTGCCTAAGGAGAAGGCTGACTGTGTCAAAATACGGAATTCAAGTTTGTCATGTAGCCTGGAAAGACCTCAGACATACATGCAGTTTCTCAGGCTCCTAAAGAGGTGGTTATGTGACTAAAGCAAACCTTGTCCTACTCAAGTTATGTCAGTCATCTGTTCTTTTTATTTTTGTTTTTGTTTTTTTTTTTTTTTAAAAAAAACTATTCATATTTGAAAAAATTTGGCAGCTTGTAAATTTCAGCCCTAAGATTAAAAAATTAAAGTTTTAGGAATCTATTATTAGATTTTGAAAGTTCACTTCATCTACCAGACATGTCTCTGAAGTCAAATAAAAATATCACTTCCATCTAGTAACATGTTAAACTTCAAAATATACACATGCAAGATACGAACATGTAACATGATTGTGAGTCATACTCCTGGATTTCAAAAACATCTCACTTAGCAGGCAAGTTGACATTCACACACCAGTAACTATAATACCAGGCAGTATGTAATTAACATAAAAGGCAAACTATGCCTGTCACTTTTTGCTACCCGTTACATCATTTCTCTGCTTTCTACAAGCACACAAAGAGCAGCTGAAGGGCAAAACATCTCTCATTGTTACACAAACCTGGCACCTCAAAACAGGTAGGAACAAATTTCAAGGAATCTTTATTGTTTCAAGTGTCATAATATAGCAAAATTTTCAAGCCACTAAAATCAATCTAAATTTTGTTTTTCATAGCAATAATTTTTCTTTTCTTTTTTGGTTTTTTGAGACAAGGCCTTGCTATGTAGCTCACACTGGCCTTGAACTATGTAGTCCAGGCTGGCCTTACACTCCTGGCTATAATACTGCCTCAGCCTCCTTAGTGCTGGGCTCACAGGTGTGAGCCACCACATCACCTAGCTTCATAGCAATAATTTCATCATGTAGTCTGTGATGCAACAGAAAGAAATCAATCACCAGGTTATTACTGGCCTCCTTTATTAAAAAATAGTACTCAAGCCAATTATTTATGCAGTATTGGCTGATGTTTAAGTAACATGCCATACATATGCATAAATAATGACATGCTCCAGAAATATTGTTTCATTATTTGTTCTACTTTATAGAGAATTCTGTATCCTCTACACATAGATACACCACCATAATTTTTTGTTTTCTTTTGTTTTGAGATAGGGTCTATGTAGTGCAGGACAGCCTTGAACTCACTACTAAGACCTGAATGGCCTCAGCCTCTCCTGCTGGGATTACAGGCGTGAGCCATCACACCCAGCTCCATATAAAAATTTTGATGTGACAATTTCCCATATGAATAAAAATGTGAGGAAATAGCTTAAGTACTTCCCTCAAATTTGGCAAACATAACTTTAGTCAAATACTCAAATGCAAAATGATCAAAATAGATTTACGTTAAGGGCAATGTTTTTTTTTTTTTCTTGGCAGAACTGGGGATTGAACTCAGGCCCTTGCGCTTGCCAGGCAAGTGCTTATTCTACTGAGCCATCTCCCTGGCCCCTAGGGCAATGTTTTTTAGAATGAGAATTGTGAAAATCTAAAGTTCAATTTGAAACACAAAGAAGGCTCTCTGTTAAACACTCTTTCACCTAAAAGAATGACTGTGTTCTGTAGTATAGCCTATCCCTTCTTCCAAAATTCCTTTTACCGTAAACAACTACAAGTATTTTCCCAAGGACATATATTTTGAAAAGCCCATAAGAAAAAATACTAACAGCATAAAACAAGCATTTTTTCATTGGGACACTTATTTACATAGTGGAATTAAGACAACACCAAATGTTGGGAATGTTGGGACAGAGAAAGCAAGAAGTGGACTGTTAAACATCCTTTGATTCCTTAATCCAAAGACAAATATTGAGGTTTTCTTCTTGATCTTTATTTTCCAATGTTCACACTTCCTACTCTCTTTAAAGGAAACTGCCCTCCATCTTGCACATACAAGAAATACTGAACCTAAATTTCAGATTAAAATCTTAACATGCAAATGCTCGACTCAAAACTTCCATATTCTGGCTGGCCCTCCCTCATTCAGGAGAGTACAGAGGAGCAGATCATACCAGCTTCTGAGGTGGACTGACCGTACAGAATCTAAAAAGGGGGTGGGGTGGGGGACCACTGAGGCAGAAGAGAAGCCAGACTTGCCAAAAATGACAGAGGGGACAAACAGAAGTTGTGGTTGACAAAAATGCATCTATGATTTATCAATTTTATTTTCATCATTAATCTTCCACTTTTATACAGGGAACCTTACCACACAAATGTTATTACTGTAGTAGGTATGTTACCTTCCCAGAGTGCCACCGGGAAACCTCATTTACTGACCTAAAGTCCTTTTGCAAAGTAGTAAACCCTTAGTTTGTGGTGCACGGCTAAAGAGAATAAACTGATGGAATATTTCACAGGGCATATCATTTTCAATCAGACAATGGTGAAAGTTCTTCATTTGAAGGAACTACCATTTTCTCAAACTTTGAAAGAACCTACAAATTACAGCGGGACGAGTGCATATTCTCCTTATAACTGTCTTTTCCAATTTCCCCAGAGAAGTTGTTACCTATACGCTCCACACCAAGCTTGTTCTCTTTTCTCGAGCACAATTTTAAGGCATGTTCTTAATCCTAAAGTCACAAGCTCACACTAGATATGCCAGTGTCGATTTGGAACTGCAGGTGACAGATGCAGAGAGCTCACAGATGTGTACGGTCTGCTGTTTGAATTCTTATTGCAATGGCAAAGCTGCAGATGTACATCTCGGCAGAAAAGCTTTTTTTTTTTTTTTAAAAAAAAAAAAGCCATTCCCTTTCTGATTTACTTTTTGAGCTCTTACTTGCATAATTAAGCGATTACGCTCAGCCTTGCCTACCATTCATTTTCTATTGCTCATTTCCAGATCTTTCATCAAACCTAATTTTGGCTAATAGCAATAATAATAACAATAAAGCGGGGTTGCTGGCACTGCCAGCCCAGGAGCTCCCAAGCCGCTATTTGGGAGCGTTCCCGCCGCTGCAGAGAGGCCGCTGAAGTTTTGTGCGAAGCAATGGATCCCCAGCGTGCTTGCACGCTGTCTCTGCCCCAGGGTGAGGGCACCACCGAGACAGAAGGGAAATCTCGCTTCCTGGTCCCTCGCCGCGGGGCTTCACCCGGCCCCGGCTCGGGGAGGCGCAGGGCAGCCCCACCCCCACCCGTTATCCTAGTGAGATGCCCCGACAGACCTCGTCCTCCCGCAGCGAGACCCGCCTCAGCCGCCCGCCGGCCGTCCCCCTGCGCGCCTCTCCTCAGCCGCCGCCCCCGCACGCTCACCCCCGCACCGCCCGGCGCCCGCCTCCCGTCCCGCGCCCACACGCCCGCCGCCGACCCTCTGGCCACCCGGTGCCCGCCTCCCCGCCCAGGGTCGCCCGGTGCCCGCCTCCCCGCCCAGGGTCGCCCGCTGGGTTACCGTGGGAAGACCGGGCGGCCACAGAGGACGCGGCGGCAGCGCTGCTGCCGGTTGCGTCGGATGCGAAGCAGGAGCTGGAGGACGAGGACGAGGATGAGGCGAGCGCGCTCCCCAGTCTCCATGGACCTCCCGCCCCGGCCCGTTACTAGGAGCCCCCGCGGCTCGGGCTCTGCCTTCCCTGCTTTGTTGTTCCGGGTACGGGGCGGCCGCTGCTTCCCCGCGACAATAAATAGACTAGAGGCGGGAGGTCATAGAGACGGCGCGCGGGGGCTAGAGCGCCGCCGGACAGGGCGCTCCTGGGTGCCTCACTAGCCACTTATTTCCGGCTCTCACTGCTCCCGTCACTTTCTCCTGCCCGCGCCCGCCGCGCCCCTTCCGCGTTCCTAGTCCGCGGGTCGGGCAGCTCGAGCGCTCTCTCTGTTCTGGGCGGATGTGAGAGGGTGGCGCCCAAGGGCACGGGGCTGGGCTGCCTAAGTGAGGACCAAGTGCGAAGATTCTGTAAAAACCACGTAGCCCTTCTGTAGCTGTAGTTGATTTGGGGCATAGAGTATACCATAAATGGACTTTATTTATTTATTTTTTTTGTCAAGCGGTAGAGACCCAGAACCAACCGTCAGTGCCTTGGAGACGGAACAGTTTGGATTTTCTTCCAGCGAAAGTGCAATTTTAAGCTGGAGACTGACATGGTCTGATTTACAAGGGAATGGTTGGAGAAATGCTCGATTCTAATGGCTCCTGCTACTGCTGGAAATTGTTTTACAACACTGATAATTCCAAGGGCGTTGAGCGGTGCTGTGCTTGCAGGAGACCAGCGAGGTGAAATGAAGGCCCATCAGTACTCTGGATTCCCTTTTGTCAAGAATGTGCTTCGTTTTGGAAGTGGCTGTGATTCGACTGCAAACACCCTTTTCCATTAGTAATAGACACTGGATGCTTATACGCTAGCGCAATATCTGGTATGTCAATCCTCTGACCAAGAAATTAGTTTCAGGAGAGAAGATGAGATAAAGTCCATGGACTTTCTTGCTCTTGTAATGTGCCTCATTACCCAAATGCCAGCTAGGAGACAACACATTGAAAGTTAGAATACGTGGTACGTTTTTGTTTTTATTTTTATTTTATTTTATTTTATTTTGAGGGGGTACTGGGAATCAAACTCAGGACCTCATGCTTGCCAGGCAGGCACTGTGCTACTGAGCCAAATCCAGGGCCCTGTAGTGTGTTTTTATCTACAGGTGTTGATTCGTGCAGGAATTAATGGCTAGAATTAGGAAATTGCAGTTATTTAACATGTAGAAGTAGTTTAGTCATTGGTGGTAGAGATGGTGAGGAGCCTTTAATTCATACTTTATTACATCTATCTTCCTTCCTTCCTTCCTTCCTTCCTTTCTGTACCAGAAATCAATCTCAGGACCTTGTACTTGCCAGGTAGGGGCTTACATCACTGAACTATATCCCCAGTTCTGCAAACTTTATTAGTTAGATCAGTGCTACTAAAAATGTGGCATCAGTTTACAAGTGACAGTAGTCAGAAATTAAATGAGATTAGAAGTGTGTAGGAGTGTTTATAAGCTTTTAATAATTTGACATTATAGTGGCATTTGTGCATGCATTTTCTGTTCATGAAAGCATTTGTTCTGATGTTTTGGTAACTGAAAACCAGCAACAACAAAATGGATCTTTCATCACAGGCTAATTTGATAATAATTTTTTTAAAATGTCCAATGAGGCTGTAGCTTTAGTAAACTTAGCTGAAAAAGGAAAAGAAAAAAATCTGGCAGTTGGAGTGTTGGCTATTTCTTGCCTCCTGTATTGTTATAAGGGCATATAGCTCAGCATAGCCTTTCTGAAAGAAATAGCAAGTGTGGTCAAAAACTATACAATGTCTTAAGATAAGCCCTTTCTAGCATCAGATTTGTTATCCTATACTGATAAGGATTAGATAATGTTTACTCTGCTAATTGAAATAACTTTCTATCTCCCTAGGTTAATACACTAAGTATGTATGTGGAGACCCAGAGAATGGAGTGAAGGATGCCTCTCTCCTCAGAATTATTCCCAAGATATATCCTGTTATTTCCCTTTACCATACACATGATTTTGTTTATGCCACATAAGTCGTGAACAACTCAGGGGATGAGTCTTATGTTATAACCTGACTTTATAATCCCAGTCTGTTCCCTCCCCTGCACTCAGAGTCTGTGACAAGTCTTTGAACTCAAGAGAGACTGACAGAGTTGCCAGGCTAGTTTCCAAGAGATAGAAACAGGAAGGGCAGGGTCCACGTTCAAAACTCATGTCTCAGTGAGATTTCTGATAACAAGCAAGTAGATTTCCCCAAATGGCATTGACTAGCAGCCAAGTAAAGTTTTAAGGCATTGCCACAAAGTACTCAATCAGGCAAAACTTACCTATGACTGTGTTCCTTCAAAGGCAACATCCCAGTCCTGAAATGCAGTAGAGAGATGAATGAGGCTTCCTCGACCATTCTAAGAGTTTCCTCTAGAATTTACACCTTTGAGGCACAGTTTTTGAGAGGAAGTAAACCTTGGAACTTTGGTTGATGAAGATCTTGATTCTCTGAGAAGTCTCTTAGTTATTTTCTCACCACTGGAGCATAATACCCTACACTCACAACTAAAGGAGAAAAGGTTTAGTTTGGGTATCAGTTTATAGAGGTTTCAGCCTGTAGTTGGCATGCTCCAAGGAAGGACAGCATGGCAGAAGAGAGAGGCATGGCAGAAGAGAATAAGCTTGTGCCACGGCAGGCAGGGAGCAGAAAGATCAAGGAAGGAAGGAGGGAAATACACCTTTTGGGGCCATACCCTCAGTGACCTACTCCCTCCAACCAGGCTTCACCTTCCAAATTACAAATAGTTATAACCTCATCAGTGGTGACTCACCTCCCCGAAAAGCCCTACCAAAGAGTGGATGGATCTCTGGGGGGAATGTTATATATAAACCATCTCAAGAAGTATAGTCCTTCCTACTCTTATTTAGGAGGCATATGCTCATCATCATTGTATGGTGCCTTTTGTTTTGTTTTTCTTACTAGTTTTAATCCCCTTCCCTCTCCTTTATTGTATATTGAGGCACTGAAATAAATTCACTATGTGTCAGCCCAGCTACATCTGGACCTGATCAAGGATGACTGCACTTTTAAGATCCTGAATTTGGAAGTGACTTCAGTACTTAATGTGACTGTTTCCTTTTTCTACTGAAAAGAGATGGAATACATTTGCAGTGTTAAATAGACTAACTGATTTATATTAAACAGACCTAAAGATACGGATAAAACTTGTGTGTGTTCATACATGCACTGAACTATCAAAGATTACAGACCAGGGAAGACTTTTGTTTCATCTAGAATTATTCCATCGTATTGGGAAGAGGGATCTTCCGCCCCACTCTGAATAACTACTCTTCTCTGCCTATCTATAATCCACAAGGATCCAAATGGGATGGTAATTGCATCAGTGATTTATAGAGAAGACAGATTCTGTCCGGAGCTGGGCCAATAGTATCCGTGCTATAGTGAATTTATGGCCTTTCAGTTCCAAATTTATACCTGTGAGATGGATCTAGATCCTGCAAAGCAGCCTCTTTTTCTTTGATATAACAATGTTAAATTCCATCAGTAGAGAACACTGACAAGGCATTGAAACAGGAAAGGATTTATTCTTTGGTTTCAGCACACTCCCCAGACAGGCTCCTGCATTATAGAAGGCTGCTCCAGAGAGTCCATTGTCTGAGAAGACAGGAGAATTTCCCAGCTCTGAAAACCACTGGTGAGGATTACAAGTATGCAAAGTCCAGAATATGTTTGCGCAGTTTGTGAAAAGTAAGAGATAAAGCCAAGTATGGTGGCACACACTGTAATCCCAGCTACCCAGGAGGCAGATATGAGAGGGTCATGAGTTTGAGGACAGACTATGCACCTTAGTACAATTTACACCTCAAAAAAAAAAGTGTAAAATAACCAGAATGCGCTAACTACTTAGCCAATGGTTTGTTTAGAAGGTAAGGGACTTGGAAGGCATAAGATTGGAGACTGGGTGAAAACTCTGAGAAAGAGCTGTGTAGACTTTTCTGCATGGGCGCACACTGTGAAGATGTTTATGTCCTATCTGAATGCACCCTGAAATGATCACTTCAGAGGCCACAAATTAGATGGACAAAAGGCGGAGTAGCACAGGAGGCCATCACCGGATGTCTCTTGCTCAGCCACTCCATTGTTTGCTTACAGCATCTGTGATCAGAGGGG